TGTGTAATTAGAAAATCAATGATCGACTCAGATTTTTTTGATGTTGGAAAACTTGGGTGTACCGTCTCGCAACCATTTCTGTCCATCCATTCTTTTATTTCATTTCCGCTAGTATTGTTTTTTGCACAAATCGATTGAATATGTTTAGCATTGTCATCTCCGAAAATGAAGAAATTTTTTCCTATGTACTTCTGAAATATTTCGAAAGGAGCTTTCCTTTTTGGTGGAACATATATTCCTCCTAAATAAATTTTTTCATTCTCAGTTTCAATTTCTACCGTTAAAAAGTCTTGAACTTTTTCTGTAGTTTTACTGATTCATTGCAGATCATTGAAATTGTCTGATTTAGCTTTTTTCACTGATTTCTTTCCGATAGTGCAACATTCATAATTAGCATAGCAAATTAGTCATCATAAATGGCGACAGCATTGTTGCAATAAACTATTGGTTGGTGGAAGAAATATAAAAGTCACGCTTTGACAATGAATAATTTTGTTCTTCAAGCGTACGACCTCTAACTACGTGTATGTGCTGCAATGCGAGATAAAGGCATATCAACAATAATAAGAAAATGACGTCCGAAGTTTATCGAGGGCTTCACACATAACAACAATCTGTGTTTTATCGTTTTATGTTTCTCCTTCTTCACCTGATGTCGTTGCAGACTCGTATTATTTATTTCCTTAAAAAACACAAGATAAAAACCTCTCAGTAACAAAATAAAAAATATCTTAAGACAAAACATCTAATATAAGTGTTAACAAAAGAATGAGAACCAATCTCTATCCGGGAATATATACGAATATCTATATATTTTCTACCCTGAACAGGTATTCATTTATTGAGTGTATGAATATGTAAGTAAAGCTAGTATCATATTGGACGCTTTTTTTTACTGTTCAAATTTATTTTCTGAGATGTTTTGACTCTATAGTCGTATTATGTTGGATGTAGGATCTCATTTTCCATGTAATAATGGTATTTTTAGTAGGAGGCATCAGTGCATAGAAGGAGTGTGGTTTCAGGATTGATTATGTAACAGAAGAAAAGATCCACATGAATGAAAGTACAAGTTTTGTGTCTGTAAACTTTTAACTTTCAACCGCACGCATCGCTACTAAAGCTCCGTGGTGTTCTTGAATATCAAAAGAACAGTCATCAAACAGAATTTTTATTTAAATAAAAAAGTTTTCTGATCGAATAGATTTTATTCACAAGTGCAGTTTGATCACTCGCACTCATAGCTTTCAACACCGAACATCATATGGGTTGCAACACATCGGTTCGAACAATGAATTCTCCAGATCATCATAACAACGTGAAGCCAACTGTAATGCCTTCATCACAGTTATCTATACCTTATAGTAATTCAAAGATCATTGAAAAACGGAATCGTCGCACTGATTCGAATGAAATTATTCAAAATTTCCTTCTGGTATGGCTTGATGTGCAAGTCGATGAGTCTACTGATGACTTTCGAAATTCAATTAAACATTTGCGACAAACTGTTAACACTATTGAAATATTCGATGATGAAAATGAATGCATCAATTATATTACGCAAATACAAAATGAAAAAGCATTCTTTATTATTTCTGGTACTCTATGTCAAAGTATCGTACCACGTATTCATCAACTCAATCAACTTTATTCAATATATGTATTTTGTCGACAACCGTCGAAATACGAAGAATGGGCAAAAGATTGGCCCAAGGTGAAAAGTATTGTCACAGAAATCACTTCAATTTGTGACTCAGTTCGGCAGTTGGCTCGACAATGTGACGAAGATTCAGTCAGGATTAGTGCTATAAAGTCATTAAATCAAATTGAATCATCATTCCTGTACACACAATTATTTAAAGAAGTTATTCTTGAAATCAACTTTGATCAAAAGAAAGAAATTCAAGCTCTAGTACAGTATGTACGTAAAAAGTATGAAGGTGACGATAATCAGTTGAAAATTATTGATGAATTTGCTACAGAATATCGTGATGACTCCGATGGTAACAACAGGCCGATTTGGTGGTATACACGTGAGTGTTTCACGTACTCCATGCTGAACAAAGCTTTGGGCGTTTTACAAGTTGATACCCTACTGAAGATGGGATTCTTCATGCATGATCTTCATCAAAATATCGCCAAGCTGCATGCCAAGCAAATGAATGAGGCATCCAATGACTCACAACAAACATTGACAGTCTATCGAGGAAAAACAATGCCAAAAGAAGATTTTGAAAATAAAATCAAACAAGGTGGACTAATGTCTTTCAATAACTTCTTATCAACAAGTGATAATCGAGCTGTTGCTCTCGATTTTATCTCAAAAGGTCTTAAATCTGCTGATCCAAAAAAAGTTGGTGTTCTATTCGAAATGACAATCGATCAAAAGACGTCATCAACTGCGTTTGCCCGCATTGATGGAATTAGTTTCTTTCCAACAGAAAACGAAATTCTCTTTACAACGCATACGGTTTTTCGGATCCAACAACTCAAAGAGATCGAAGTAAACAACATGAAGATGAATCAAGTGAAGCTTACATTGACCAATGAAAATGACAATCAACAGTTCAATGCTCTTAAGCAACATCTACGTGACGAGATCAGTGGAACAGGATGGCAGCAAATGGCTTATTTGTTATGGAAACTAGGTGAGAATGAGAAAGCAGAACAAATGTACAGATTATTGTTACTCGATGAGTCATCCAATGACAAAGATAAATCATACCTTTATAATCAACTCGGACTAATCAAGGATGGACAAGGCGAGTACTCGAAAGCAATCGAATTTTACGAAAGGTCACTCGAGATCAGACAAAAATTTATCTCTGAGAACCAGTCGAACTTAGCCACTTCTTGGAATAATATTGGTATGGCGTATTCAAAGATGGGCGAGTATTTGAAAGCTCTTGAATTTTACGAGAAATCACTCAATATCTATGAGAAAACTCTTGCAGAGAACCATCCTGATTTAGCTAGTTCCTATAATAATGTCGCCTCACTATCTTACAAATTGGGCGAGTATCAGAAGGCACTTGATTTTTACGAAAAATCACTCAATATTTATGAGAAAACTCTTCCCGAGAACCATCCTGATTTAGCCACTATCTATAACAACATCGGTTTGGTGAATTACGACATGGGTGAGTACGAGAAAGCACTCGAATTTCATAAAAAATCACTTGATATCAGAAAAGAAGCTCTTCCTGCAAACCATCCTGATGTGGCCACTTCCTACAATAATATTGGAATGGTATATTCGAATATAGGGGAGTACACAAAGGCAATAGAATTTTACGAAAAATCACTGAATAACAGACAGAAAATTCTTCCTGCAATCCATCCTGACTTGGCTAGTTCCTACAATAACATTGGTATGGTTTATTCAAACATGGGTGAGCATTCAAAAGCTCTCGAATTCTATGAAAAATCACTTGATATATTTGAAAAAATTCTTCCTCCGAATCATCCTTCCTTGGCTACAACTTGCAACAATATCGCTTCACTATATTATAGAATGGGTGAATACTTGAAAGCTATTGAATTTTATGAGAAATCACTTGGTATCTTCGAAAAAATTCTTTCTACAAATCATCCCGCATTGGCTACTTCCTACAATAACATAGGTTCGGTATATTTTAGCATGGGTGAACACCAAAAAGCGCTTGAATTTTATGAAAAATCACTTGATATCAGACAAAAAACTCTCCCTGAGAATCATCCCGTCTTCGGTGCTTCTTATAACAACATAGCTGCAGTATATGATGACATGGGTGAATATTCAAAAGCACTCGAGTTTTACGAAAAATCACTTCATATCTCGGAAATAACACTTCCTCCATCGCATCCAGATATCGAACTAACGAAAAGAAACATTGAAGTTGTAAAAGAAAAAATGTGATTCTTTTTTTTTGTTGTTGCATTGAATAAACTTCGTCCAATTAGCATTGATTTTTTTCATTTTGCTACGCACACTTTTTTCAAAATTATACAATCAATATAAAGAGTGTCTAATAAGTGCTGATCCATATATATATATAGCAGCATTCTACTTCTTATAGTCAGAGAAAAATAAATGAGAGAATTAGTGAAAATGTTTATTTTTATTTGTGAGAAATTATTTGCCTACTTATGAAGTGTCCTTTAGATCAAAAATTGATGATATCTCCCTATCTGGGTCTATCACTTTGTAACGGAATTCGCGTGTTTGTGAACGTTAGTATACTGATGACAGTAGAAATGATACACACCGATATTCATACTCGCTTTTGATAAAGCAGAAAAAATAAAATATATTAACAAAAAAACAGCCAGACAACTAGAGACTTGTTCAACATAAAAACAAAACAAACTCGAAACATTTTCTTTCGCACATTTTTAATACATCATTTGAACAAAAAAGTTTTATATAAGAAAAAAGTTTTAAAAATATCCGAATGTCGCTTTCTGTCAATAATTCATTGATCATTATTATCATTCGATGATGAATCAATTTGATCTAAATCATCTGTTGTTGTATTTTCATATTTCCAAATTATATTACCATATCTTATTTTAATATTAAAACATGTTTATCTACACATACTTTACGTATTATGTCAGTTTTGTTATTTTCATGCTGATTTGATGAGTGTTGCATTTATTTTTCAAGAGAATACCCTTCCGTTTCATTGTTGTTATTATAGAAGTTCTTGGAGATACTCCAATAAGACTATCACCATGATGATTACCGACAGAGGATATTAATTTAAGAAAATTCATCTTCCGAATAGGTTTTGATTCTTTTTAACTTTGAAACACTTGTTTAATAACCTCCTTTCTTAGACTAGTTGATGATGACTGAGGATTTTTATTATTAAACTTTCGTGAACGAACTGAAAATGTAGTTGAGAAAATGGAGAAAAGTTGATCAAAATCAGCGAAGAATTTTCAACAAGAGAAAATAAACTATTAAATAGAGAATCATCATTATTATATTCTATTTTATTTTTAGAATGAAAATTTATTTCTCATTGTTCATTTTTATTTTTATTTCCATATGAAGAAATCTATAAAAAGTATATATCCAGACATTTGGTTATGTCTTAGTCTGTTTAGTGACTTAATTATATAGTGTAGTGTCTTCGCAGCTACATCATTATTAGTAAATATGATATATATCAATGTTGTTTATAACCTTTTCGACAGTCTGATAGTTAATCGAACGTTTTTGCTTTCTAGGTATGAACAATCGTTTATTGTAATCTGAATCAATGGTTTTCAATTTAAATATGTTGAGTAAAGTTGAGCACGAAAAAGTTGCTGGCATACGTATTGAATAGATGCGTGTGACACCTTGCAGTTCAATGAACTGAAAGATTCTTATCAAAAGAAAGTTACCTGTTAGTTCTTCTCACCTAAATTTCTTTCAATCAAATGCTTTTTTATTATTATAGTAAAAACCGGTTACAGTTTATAAAGTGAAAAGAACTAACTTATATTTTAAATATTTTGTAAATGAGCTCGGTGACTGATTGAGTAATTCAATCAAGAGGGTGTGCGTGTGGGTATGTGGGTGTGGGATGTGGGTGTGGGTGTGTGAGTGCGGGTGTGGCTGTGGCTGTGGGTGAAAGTATTCCATTCATCCAAACCCACACCCACACCCACACGATTTTGCTAAGTTTTTTTTTATTTACCTGCATACGAATAAAAGATATTATCTACGATGCATAACTATTCACATTAAGGCCGAGACTCGATGTGTTTGAAGGAAAAATGCTAAAAGTCTAACTTTTTCTCTCATAGATGCAGTAAAGTATGTAATTTGAAATATATGTTTAAAAATAAAATCGAACAAGTAGTTTTGTTTTCTTAAATCACTTATATGACCTATTATGAGGAAAAAAATTGGAATTCTCTCATATTTTGACTATATATTGATTTCAATACTCTTGAATGGTATATAAATTTTGAGAAGCTATATCAGCTTTAATTGGAGAAAAGTTCAAGTCAATCTTTTATTCTATTTACAGGGTTTGCCACAAAGTTATTATTAGGGTGGGTGTGGGTGTGGGTGTGAGTGTGAGTGTGGGTGTGGGTGTGGGTGTGGGTGTGGGTGTGGGTGTGGGTGTGGGTGTGGGTGTGGGTGTGGGTGTGGGTGTGGGTGTGGGTGTGAGTGGG